TTAAAGAATCCCGTTCTCTGGAATAGATTTTTAGTTTTCACCCAAGAAGACTTCTTGCATCGATTCCTGAGTTGTTAAAGTGTTCTGTTAACAGATTTGCCTCTTCGAATTATAATTGCTATACCTATCATTAGACCAAAACCAATAGAGTACTGCCGTTAAATTAAAATTAAATAATTTTGATGATTTAAATAACAGTCGTAAAGAGAGATATATTCGTATTTTAAAAATTTGTGCGATTTTTATTCTTTATCTGAGGAAATGGAACTTTCTAAATTTTATCGTACTAACTTTGTAATGTGGGTCGAATGTCATAGATGCAAAAGGAACATAACCTTAACCGATCCATTGTCCACTATGCGCCGGGGCATAACCGGAATTTAAATCAGTTAACGCCGTGAAACATGTGTTGTTGTATGCTTATATGGTGTTACTTATGTAAGTACAAGTTACCTGCTTGCATATGAATTGGACACGTCCTTTTTAGTTTTAAGTTTATGTTTTTTTTAATATTTCACCGACTCGAATAGTAATAATTTAAGAATGTTAAAAAATAACTTCAATCGTGACAAAACTATTATGAGACGAACAACGGGCATTTCAAAAGGAATAAGGAAATTTATCATGTAAGAAAAAAATACTGTCAAATCGAGAGTTTCCTTCTTTTTGAAGTCGGATTAAAATAGATCTTGTATACTTTGGTTTATCTATCCGTCGTGTCTGTCGTTACAGACGTTTTTAAGGGTTATTTAATGAAAGGTATATTTTTAAACTCATACTATTTTTAAAGGTTAATGAGAAAGTTTTTTTTTTTTTTTTTTGGCAGTGTTTTACACTGTCTTAATAAAAAGGTGCCAGTAAAAGTTCGATCTTTGGATCTTTTTCGAGAAATTGTATAATTCTTTTAAGTCGAAATAAAAATGATTATTTTATTTTAAATACACAATCGAGACTTAATGCGATGTAAAATCCTTTACAGTTGAATAGTAGCTACATACTTGCTTCTTTATTGCCGACGTTTCGACGTGGAAACAGAAAAAAAAAGGTATTATAATTTAAAATATATGTAAACAACGCGAAAGTTTAAAATTAACTAATGTTTATCTTTTATAGGAGTTTAAACTGGAAGCTCCGTCATTGTCATCTATTACGTAACATCAATCCATACCTCACTCCTAGTTCTATTTTCATCATCATCATCATCATTTCAGCCATTATCCGTCCACTGCATGGTATGGGTCATGGTTATTGTTACAATTAGGGAAAATGTATATGTTTATTCCGCGTTATCATGATATAGCGCATGGAGCTATGTCGAATTGTTCATTTAAGAGATATATGTGTTTTTATGGGATGAAAATAGAATGGTATCAATGAGATAGGTGGAAAAAATATCCACTTTAACTACCCACGGGGGAAAGTTGGTAGGGGCAAGTGGAACTGGTCGAATGATGATAAGTTATAACATAAGTAAAGACGCAGTGTAAAAAGCTCGTGAATTCGCCACGATGGTTTGGTTTCCAAGGGAAACTGCGTGGAAGTCAAAAGGTATGAGGTAATTTGAGGACTATTCCGATTACTAATGATTTCCTCCCCCTGGATATATGTTTATCTGTAACCGTGACGTAATGTATACAAAGCAGATTATATTGAAACATTATGTGCAGGCTGTTAGCAATGATGTTTGTTAGGATAATATCTCAATAATGTACTTTTCCCCTTTTTACTTTTAATGTACTTTACTTTTATGGTGGTCGTGTGTTTTGGAACCAAATCAATAGAACGCTTTATTTTCTTCACTATTTCGAATTCTAACATTATAATGTAAAATCATCATTATCATCATGTCAACTTTTGACTGTCCATTTCTAAACATAAGCCCCCCTCCCCCCCCGGGGTGTTTTGCCAGCAGTTGTCACGCGTAGCAGGCGGTTTGGCAAACCCAGTTAAGCTTTGGAGAAGTTTTAAGAGGGATGCTGCTTCCTATCCCTCTCCCTCCCTTAGTTGCCTCTTAGATACCCATGAGAAAGGGGCGGTGGGACCACACAGTAAAATATAAATATATATAATGTATAATAGTCCAGTCCTATAACCGCGTTAGGCCGAAAAATAGGGAAATCCTTAGGGTATTTTTAATTTATACCCTCATACATTTTAAGCAGCGAAATCACAAAAAGGACAGACATGACCCTGTCGGTTGTGAAGTGTTCGCTTAATTTATGTCTTGTCAACTTTATAATAAAGACCGAAATGGCGCGTGTCAGTGTCTTGAAAGATTGTTTTGTTCTTACTTATTTCAGCGGCTACGCCGTCTGGTTTAGTAGATTAGCTTATGAATAGTGATCGATCAGAAAAATACCAGTCTCCGCGTATAACTGATTAGTTCGTGTGGGAATTTTGTGACAAGACTTTTGTTGTCTTTTCCGGTGGACCAAAAAGCAACAAACCGATCCTGTTAGTATCAATAACAAATCAAACATTTTTTTAAAAGATTATTGATAATTTGGTTATAAATTACAATCTATTATATACATATAATAAAAATGTAGAGGTCGAATGTCTGTGTATAGAAAAAAAAACTGCTAAAAACCGAGTCAGGGGGAAGTAATATAGACCAGATCCAGATTGTTTTTCAAATTTTTTATTTCTTTGTCTGTTTCTATGGGCTAATCTACGAAACTGTTGGACCGATTTAAGTAAAATTTTGCTTACATCCCCGGACGACATTTTAGATACTTTTAATCACGGAAAATTAAACTTATTAAGTTTAGGAAAACTTTTTCATAGTATTCCTTTGCTCATCTCACCTTCGACAACTACATACGACATAGTAATATTTGTAAAGTCAACGAAGATGAAATAATTTATTTTAAGCGCGACCAGTTGACATAAGCGACATCTACAGTCAGCATCTGAGAAACGTAGCTGAAGTCAGCTACCAAAATCACTTTGCATACGTTCGAGACGACAAAAGTCGACGGTATAATGACTCCATTAGCATATTTGTTGCATTACCAAGCGAGAACAATTGCTAACAAAATGGCCCTACAGCTCGCTTCGGACGAGCGTCGAGTAGCTCTAGTGTTGTCTCTCCGATTGTCGATGATTGTTCAGATTTTTTAACCCATTAGACTGATTTTTGATGTAATCAACTTGTTATCAAATCAATATACTATCGAATAGATTTCAAATGGACGTTACCATTATACTATTTGACGAAGGGAGTGGAGGGACTTGCTTTTGTGTGTAGTCGTTGCTAGCAATATATCATTGAACTCCACGCAGTCTGTTTTGGAAGCCATCGTAGTTAATTTTTGGTGAATTCGTTATGCTAGGCTGACTGACCTCACTTCATACTTGCTTGTCATATCTCTCTCTCTCTCTTTCTTTCACTGTTACTGTATACTGACAGTGCAGATGGAATTACCATTTCATTATCATTCCTTAAATATTATTTCAAGTCTATTTTATGTGATTTCGATTCGATTCTATTTTGATTTGAAGTCTGCTGATGATTGCATCAAATTGTGGTAAGAATACAAAGTTTCACCACAATCCTCGCCTTTCATTCGTAGGATGTCGTAAGAGGTAACTAAATGAACAAGACATATGCTGCTTTGATGTATTGACATCTGTGCAAAGAAAATGTCGAAACAGTACTCCGTGCATGGTAATTAGATGTGAGGCCGGTGAGCAATGTCCGTCCCAGAATTGAGTGGTGGCCAATTCAAGATATGAGCAGATCATATAACAATGCGAAAGCACATCTCTGAAAATTTTAAAGGACCAGGCCGTGCCAAAAATATATCTTAAACCTAACTTAGTGACTGAAAATTTAATATTTGAAATCGTTCTTAATTTGTTTTTTTACTTAACAGTTCGATTTTGTTGCCTTTTTGATCTCGCTTGGTATATGATGATTATCGCTTAGTCATTATAATTCAATTCAGTTATTTATTGCATATTCATGTTGTAACAATATAGATCTTAAATATTAGAAGTACAGTATCAACATGTACCCTGTAAGAGCACAGCAATATATTTCTTGTAATCTGTATTTGATACTATTAACCAGTTCCGGCTTCGCACAGATTTTTAAAAATAATATACAGCTCATGTTATGGGCTGATAATGTAGCTTTCTATAGATAAGAGAATTTTTAAAATCGGTTAAGCATTTTTTGTGTATGTCCGTTACTAACAAAAAATCTCTATACTATCAATTCAGATAACAGAATTAGTGTTCAATTGAAGCTAACTCAATATCGTTAACTTATTTCAGAATATGCGTCTCTTATTAATTAGGTGCAGATTAATTTGTTTAACTTTTGTATGGCAATGGTAAAGTCAATCGGTTCGCGTAAATTATCTTGTGCTCGATTCTCTATCGGGTCAACTAACTAAATAAACTCCAGTCTGTGTTACCCACTGGTGTTGCTAGGTGGTTAAAAACCTACCGAGAAGAGATAATCAGGACACCTTTACTCATCTTTATTATGGGATGTTTCCATTCAAATTTAAAGTATTTCAACAAAGTAACCATCTAAGGCACTTTTAATAGTATTACATTAATTTATTTATTACCTTGTAATAATATATTATGGAGAATTTAGACACTGTTTGCTACAGTTCATAACAATTTGTTATTTTATATAAAAAAAACGTGATAATACAGTCGTAAAATTATGTATCAGCCCAGCTACCAAATTATAGTAGGTAAGTAGATTACGTCATAATAATATGAAGAAGGCTAATTATTTTGTTTCAATTATTATTTAATATCACTCCTACTGAATACGGACGCTGTGCTTGTTGTTAATATTTTATATCGACTCGATTAGTTTATTGTTGATGAATAAAAAGTTTTTCACTCGATAACGTATATCGATTTGCCATCACTAAATGGTGACGGTACAGGCGTCGGTGCCAGTGCTCTTGTTCTCTATATTGTGTCACACTATAGCTGAATGTTGTTGAATGGAAAATATGAATGAATACAGTCATGTCGATAATCGATTGGACATCACTCGCAGTGGACACAGACGTCGGACTAGTGCGGTCGTGTTTGGTATTTCGTATTGTGCCGCCGCGTTCCGTGGTCGAATGTTAATGAATGGAAAATATGATTATAATAGGTGAGTGGTGAACTGTTTTTTCTCAATAAGAACTAGTGTTTTACTATAGCGGGCTGCGCACAATGTATTATTGTCAATGATTTGTTGTTAATTTTTATTGTGTTATTTATAGCGGCGTTAAAATAAAATATGCAAATAGAGTTTTGGTCGGCCGATGTTATAATAAGCGAGCGTTCTCTAAACAAGTAGTCATGAGATACGTGTATTTAAAAATTTTATAAATAGCATACGAATCTTTTCCCGAAGAGGTAGGCGTGTTACTGTTTTGTATTGTTATCAAATGCTTTGACATTCGCGTCGCACACTCACGCACGGCACACCTGGGACTCGGGCGTGATTGTATGAAAACGCGCTACATATATATATATATATATATTACAATTATTTGGTATTTGAACACACAAGTGTGACCAATAGGGAATCTATGTGTGAGTGAAACGAGACATGAAAGGATTTTGTCATTTCGTTCTATATGTCTTCGCACTGCTTTGTCTCGCATTATCACCTATATAACAGTCGTAACGTGTTTTGGAGACTGCACTGAACATATTAGTGTATTTCGAATTTCTACCTTAATTATAAGTCGATATAAGGTTTATTTTAACTGTAATTATTAATTATCATTTTCTATTCTGTTAAGATTTTAAAATCAACTCGATTTCTTAGCAATGGGCAAGGAATTGGGAACGTAAACAATGTAACCCCCTCTCTTACTGTAGCAACAGGGATTATATTATGGAGCAAGGAGGTGAACAGAAAAAGGTTTACGCTTTTTTTATTGATCTTTGTTGAGCGTTTATTGGTAGGCAGATGGTAATAGAATAAGAATGGAAGAAGAATGACAACACCTGTCATCACCTTTCTTTTAAAGTAAAAGCATTCATATTTAGATTTAGATCATTTTTTAAAAAGTCTATATACATATCCTCTTCTATCTTATATAGATTTGAAATGTAAGCTTAATGATGGTTAAAATAAATTTTTAAATCCCCTACGGTACCTGGTAACATATTTCTTTAACTGTAATTGAAAACTCACTCGGCTCGTAAGAGATACGAGTTCTATTCCACAGGTTCGAGGGTTAAAATTCATAGTCAAACATTTACGATTCCTGAACGTAGAATATTCATTTTAAACTGTTTTCAAACGCGCTTGAAAATACATATTTCAAGGCTACAGAAGAGAATGCTAATAACATTTATTAGTTAGACTCTACCGGCAGAGCGAGGCTCCTTGTTGTTTGTCTATCGTTCACAATTTCATTCCTCCGAAACGTCTGCTGCACTCTATTCTTACCAATATTATAAAAAGTGAGTTAGTTTCTTTGTTACTTCTTCGTCTCTTTAACTGCTTATTTAGTGCGCACGTACAATATTCGGGATGGGGGGGGGGCGTTTGGATATTGTTAGTAAAGCGGTCTAACTAACCAATTGCCAGCATTACACCTTATCAGGCCGACCTCCACGAGGTTCCCCTTGGAAACCATCGTGGTTAATTCTCGCGGAATTCGTCACGATGGGCTAACTGATCTGCTTTTATCGTCACCTATATCATCCCTCACTGTTGCTCCGCCAGCGTATACCAATAGCGCAAGCGGGGTCACCATTCCATTATCACCTATTAAAAAAAAATCAGGATGGACCTTTCCATTATAAATATTACTTGTTACTCACATAGGTTACTTTTTATCCTGGTCCATGTATAAATGTCGGCGAAATGTCTGTAAATGACGAAGTGGCGTGTAGACTAGATATAAATTGGCGAATTTGTCTTTAAATATGATCCATATTGTTTGCAGGTGGGCGGCGTGGTCGGCCATGGGGTGCTTTGGCTCACCAGGTGGTAAGAGCGGCGGCGAGGGTGACGACCTCAAGTCGCAGAAGCGCCGTAGTGATGCTATCACCAGGCAGCTGCAGAAGGATAAGCAGGTGAGCTAGATTACGACTGTACACAATTTTTTTTAAGGGAACAATCGCAAACAATTGTGAGACGTGTTGAAAAAAACTGCCGTCTTTTTATGTGAATAACTAATGAATGTGGGATGACACCGTAGACATTCTACTATCCACCTAACCTTTACGGGAGTTTTCTAATAGAACGACTGAACAATTTCCCCAAAGAAATATGGGTCGAAAATGAAAGAAAGAACATTTAAATTTATTTCTTTATCATCATATAAACTGGTAAGTATCCAGTATCCATAAGCTATTGTCAGGCTTGACAGACGGGTTGGCAATTGCAATTAGGCTTTGATTTGGACGCTACTGCTCATCCTTCGACCATTCAGTTTCCTTAGTTCAGTCTTTTACGGCACCTACTGACAACGCTCATCTCCATCTATCATAGCTGCCAAGTTAGTATAAGGTGCGAACAATTTTCAATTTCATACATAGCACTTAACAGACTTAACTACACTTAACAGATTATGATGTTGGGCTCTTATTAAAAAGAAAAAAAAATACACTATTTTAGGTAGTTTATTAATCAAACAATCTACAAAAAGTAGTATAAAAAGTAAAATAAATACATATAGTTCAAAGTCCGTAGCTGAAGCAGCAGTGATCACATCTATCAAATAAGTGATGCTAAATTCGGCTGATAATTTGATGCTCTGTCAGTTTACGTTGGCGGGGTACCAGCGAGAGGTCATAGGTGAGAATGAAGTCAGGTCAGTTGGCCCAACGTGATGAATTCATCAGGAACTAACTACGATAAGATAGTGTGTCTAGGGAAAACCGCGTAGTCATGATACTGCTAGCAATGAAAGCCCTCGACCTACGCCAGTCTTCGTATGTAGTAGGTATCACTGTCTTATAGTTTGATTCAATCTACGATAAGATAGTGTGTCCAGGGAAAACCGCGTAGTCATGATACTGCTAGCAATGAAAGCCCTCGACCTGCGCCTGTCTTGGTATCTAGTAGTTATTTTATAGTTTGTTTCAATAGATTCTAATAAAAAGGTGAGAAAGTTATTGGAATTATCACAGAAACATTTTTAAATGAAATTAGTAACAAATCGACACATTCAATCTATTAATCGTTATTTTATGTATTCTGCTGTTGGACATCAATAGACTGTCTTATAGTCGAGTCAGTTATTCGTTCGGTTTCGTTTTTACTAAGTTTTATTAAAACAGGATACTCATTTTGTGTATCTACACTATTTATATACATACATACATATCTGTCACGCCTGTCTCCCATTAGGGTAGGCAGAAACAATGGAACGTCAAATGCTACACTATTTATGTTTTTGTAAATGGCAATATACTCGTATTACGAGTGAAGTTCTAATTACTGGCTGATCTTGACTGGATTCCCGGACGTTCGTGGCCGATTTATCATCGAAATAGAAATATCATTTTTGGCCAGTTGGTTAACGCAATTAGGCTTTGGTGCTGTTTCAAGAAACGCTGCTGCCTATCCCTCGACTATTAAGTTCTCTTAGTCGCCTCTTACGACACCCACGGAAAAGGACGGGGGGAAAGGATAGCATATTCTATGTCACCCGCGGGAAAGGTTGGGGTGGCACATTCTATGCCAGGACTATGTGGTAAGGAGCTATTTATTAATACTTTAGTGATGCATGTTTAATTGACGGTATGGTACGATTGTTTACAGCTGTATCGCGCAACGCACCGACTGTTATTACTGGGCGCCGGCGAGTCCGGCAAGTCGACGATCGTCAAGCAGATGCGGATTCTGCACGTGAACGGCTTCTCGGACAAGGAGCGCCGGGAGAAGATCGAGGACATCAAGAAGAATATTCGAGATGCGATACTAGTAAGTATATCTGTCTATTTTCACGCCAAATCCCTTGCGAGCTAGGCAGAGATCCAAGTACCAATGGCCTAAATTTGTATGTTTTGCTTCATGCAATTTCCTATGACGTTTCATACATACTCCTAAGTTCCGGAGTTTCTTGACTCCTTTCTCATATGGGACATTGTCATTCAAGTTAGCTGATCAAACACGGGTTTTTTAATGACCACATGGTCATTTCATGTAATTTTAACGTAGTACATTTAAATAAATATATGCGTACTTGTAATATATATACGTTCACAGAGATTTAAAAGAGTTAACTGTTGAGTTCCTTGCGGACTCTTCTCAACAGATAACTTTCCGAACCCTACTGTAGATTCATAAAAAAATTATAATTTAAAAGTGCTTGTAAACAAGTGTATATGAATAAAGGTGATCTGAATTTGAATTAAAATGTTCATGGTACTGCTCATGTCTATAGGCGACGGTTACCACTTTCCATCAGGTGGGCCGTCAGCTTGTTTGCCATTCTTAGTTGCATAAAAAAATGCCTAGACAATGGCGGACCGGCATAACCGCATTGCGCTGTATTAATATGGCGGGTACACCGTCCATATTAATACAGCGCAACGATCACCATACTATCCTGCAAATTTTTATCATCATCGCGCAGTTGAGACGCCCTCTGTGTGACACTATACTACTACAAAACTGTCCTATTTTTGCTCTGTAAATTTAATCATATCTATTTAAGAAAAACTAAAGCCGATAAATATATTAAAATATTTTAACTGCACCAACTGGAGTATTTATTAATGTTGTATCAAACAAGTAAAACTATATGTATTGTCTTGTCTTGTGTTTCAGACAATCACGGGTGCAATGAGCACCCTGACCCCTCCTATTCCACTTGAAAAGCCGGAGAACAAGGCGCGCGTGGATTATATACAGGTAACAACATTCATAACATGTTCCATTTTAACTAGATATTATCGAGTTTATCTTTAGCTGTACGGTTTTTACCCTTAAACATTCTAGAATTTTCTTTCAGTTTCCTAAAGGTTTCTAAAACACCCCTTTATATAGGGATAAGTTCGCTATTATATTTTAAATCTTTTATTGTATCCAATTTATATTATGTACATTAAAGATTTTACAATACAATACAGTATAATAAATGCAGTTCAATAACCGATCTATCAGAGGGAGACATTTGTACAAATGTCGTCAGTACATGTACTTTATTCCACTTCGTGTTTCTATCGTAAAGCAGCTCTGCTTGCGTGACTGTGTTTCGGTTTGAGCAGTGGGATAAAGCAATGAACAGTGAGGAGGCATCCTAGTTCTGAAGAATGGCAACGCATGTGTGGTACCGTGGGCATCACAGTTCATTCTGTGATGCCCACGCGTGCACATTGTTATGTTATTTGACAGTATTTTGTCACTTTCCGTCACGTGGGCCGTCAATGTGTTTTCCATTCAATCTCTTACAGATTGTTCAACTTCTCTTACACCACACACTAAATTCCATACATTATTTCCAATTTCTTAACTGTGATTTTTTAAACTGTAATTCGATATTGGGGCCGATTCTGAGGTATTGTTTCTCTAATTCTATATAAAATTATATAAAACTATATATATATATATATATATATATATATATATATATATATATATATATATTTGTTAATTTATATATATTATATATAATATATATTATATGTTAATTTGACAATTAGCTAACTCGTTTTATTTATTGACTTATTATTCAATAAATAAAATGAATATTTATGCATTAAAAAGAATTAAAAATTTATAAGACAAAATAAATATAGAAGTTATAAAGGAGTAAATAATTATGAGTGCATAATTATTTATCATGCAAAATTGTATGAAAAAGTTGACTCGTTTTTCTCGAAGCATTTCTATGGAGACACTCTATCTATATAATGTACGTATATAGTATAAATACATGTATATATAGCATATTTATAAATATTACTTCGTTTGTTATGTATTTTGTGATGATAAATCTTCCATACTTAGGTATGTACTTATAAATAATCAGACAGTCAACTTCAGAGTCCTATATCTAATTTGTTATCAACACCTAATGTATTGAGAATATCAATAATTAATCATAATGATTATTAATTAAAAAAAAAAATATTCCCGCTAATTTTACGATTTGTTTTGTCAATCTATCACGACTTTTTGTACTGAATAAAGTACAATGACAATAAAAATTTTATGTCAACATAAACAATGCTCGTAGACAGTTTTGTAGATAATAACTTTATCTAATTAGACACATTCACTCCGCTAAAATTAAGCTATTCCAATCGTGAACGACGAGGTATTTCGTAAACATTTAAAATGTATTTGAATTTAGAACGCGTAAATTTTGCTTAGCAACAAACATTTTTTTGTGTCGAGCAAAGAAATACGACAGCTTTGATCCTTACAAAACTACTATCTACCTTTCAATCAGAAATAAAATTATGGAAATGGTTCAGAATTGGCAAGGAGATCATATTACAAATCACAAAAAAAAAAATTAGGCATAGTGACTAAGGGTGGGTAATATTTGCAATATTTGTATATTGTAGTTACAATATCTATATGTAAATTGGTCCGATAACAGATATATTAGATATCGGTTAATGAATATATAATATCGAAAAGATGAACCCGTTCCTAATGAATATGATATATATATGATGGGTGGTTAACAATGTTTAGAAGAATTTAATATACAGATATCGGATATTAACCAACTTTACGAATTCGAGAATATATAAATACCGTATATTACACATTTCTAATACTGACAACCTCTTATGGAATTAGGCATGCGTAATACCGCTACCGCTTCGATATCGATATATTGGGTTCCACTGGATTTTGATAGCGGTAACTTCATCATATCAATATATATGTATACACCGGTAGGATATCTATATATTCATTGCGATCGTGCTGTTCATTTAATATTACATATTGAATAACCGATATTTAGTATATCCGTTATTGGGCCAATATATAGATATTGTAAGTACAATATGTAATATTGCTATATATTGTTCGCCCCTGTTTAGATGTAGCTTAAAAAAAATAAGTATAACAATACAATACTCTCTCAATGTATTTAAAGCCGTTTTAAAAGTACAGGTCTTGAATTCCCAGACTGCTCAAATAATGTTAATATCTCTCTGGTCATAAAAATGTATATAGACATACCACAAAAAATTGAACCTTATACCCGAGCCCAATAAACAAGAGTTCATACACCGCAAGTGAAGATAGTGTAGTGTCATGATAAATGTCTACTAACAACCATATCGTTGCAATTTAGTTTATTAAGAGTGCATCCATGTTTTAACCGACTTCAAAAAAAAAGGTTCTCAATTTGACTGTACTGTATTTTTTATATTTGATTATCTAGTAAATCCATCAATTATAAACCGATTTGGTATTTTTTTTTTCATCTGAAAGAATATACTTACAGATTGGCACTACAAAAATTTGTCCCATTTGTGTTTCAACCGTAAAGCAGTTGTGTTTGCATGGCTGTGTTTCGGTTTGAAGGGTGGAATATGAATTGAATTTACTGGGTACAGAGGAATAACATCTGAGTCCTCAGGAATGGCAACGCATGGGGGGTATCATGGGCGAAACATTATACTCTGTTATGTCCATGGTACTGCTCATGTCTATAGGCGACGTTTTCCACTTTCCATCAGGTGGGCCGTCAGCTTGTTTGCCATTCTAAGTTGTATAAAAAAAACTAGAAAAATTGAGAATTTATCAATTCTTTATGAAAATTGACAACTCTGATATTGCCACATTTCGGTCGTTTTAGGTTTCGGTATTAGTTAGTTTGGTAGGTTTCAGTAGATGTTCGGTAGTTCGATTTGAACATAACTCATTTATATCAATAAAAAAATTGTACATAACTTATTTACTTTGCTTCTCCTCATGTTTATACCGCTAAATAGCTGTGCTTTAATGGCTTAATTTCAGTTTAAAGGATGCCATATGGCAATGAAATTGCATGCTACAGAGATATTACGTCTTGGCTTATACGTACGAATGGCAACACATGAAATACCATGTGTTGCCATTATAAATACACTCTATAGTGTATTTATTTTTTGACATCCATGGAACTGTCATGTCTATAAAGGATTATTTATAATAATTTTAAATTGTGTTTTACAAGAAGACTTCAATTATGGCAAATTATTTATTTTGATTTATAAACTAAATTGCTAAACCGATTTTGATGACATTTCTATAGGCCTAATCTGCAAGTATATCCTTTCAGATAAAAAAGATTTTTCCAAATTGATTAAATTAAATTAGTTTACAACTGACGAAGTTATATGGTAACAACCAAAATTAAACAACCGAATTAGGAACGTTATTTTTGAAGTTAGTTGAAAATAGGCAATATGTTTTTTTAAAACTTTAATTTTAAAACCTTATTCCCCCATTTATAACATATATGATGTATGGTTCGAATTCTAATTATTGCCTACGATTATTTTGACTAAACTATATTGTATTTACCAAACAACATTCTTCATTCTGAGTAATCCTCTAGGTCAGTGTTCCGAGATGGTTTACAGATAAAACGGTCACTCAGTGTGTCGGTGTGTCACGGTCGAATGAATCTTTCGGTGTACGTAAATATTTCTATTTAAAAAATAGCATGTAACCATTAAAGAATGAGCGGGCTTTTGGATTGTGTTTAAGTCCAGGTCGGTTGAAGTTATTTTGTTTACTTTCGTGTACCGTAGACGTGCAGTCTGGACGCGGAACGTTTAATGTTAGTCCATAGCCTACGTTCGATTAATTGCCTGACGATTGCTCTTTTATTTTTGTGAACGTTTTTTTATACAACTTAGAATGGCAAACAAGCTAACGGACAACCTGATGGAAAGTGGTAACCGTCGCTTATAGACATGAGCACCATGAGTACCATGGACATAATATAGTATACCTACAGTTATTATTGAAAAAGTTTTTTTTTTTTTAGGAAAAAAGAGTAACACTACGACCTTCCCATAATCTTTTGAGCTTTTCCTTTTTTTTTTAAAGTTTTCTGCTAAAAACATCTTAAAACTCCTATCAGTGATATGAATTTTAAGATGTTTTTTGTAGCGTTGTTTTTTTTTATCTCCTCAGGATAATAAAGTGTATTTTCCAAATGAGATATCGTTCATGTATGAGTGAGCTACAGCCACAAATTAAGTGCTGCGGCGTTTGTTCCTCATTGTGACACAAACTGCAAACACTTTTTGAGCGTAAACCTAATTGGGTCATATGCTTGTTTGAACGTACAGTTTTTTTTTACAACTTAGAATGGCAAACAAGCTGACGGCCCACCTGATAGAAAGTGGTAACTGTCGCCTATAGACATGAGCAGTACCATGGACATAACAAAGTATACTGTTTCGCCCATGTTACCTCCCATGCGTTGCCATTCCTGAGGACTCAGGTGTTATTCCTCTGTACCCAGTAAATTCACGCCATATCCCATCTTTCAAACCAAAACACAGCCATGCAAACACAACTGCTTCACGGTTGAAACACGAATGGGACAGAGGTATCCAAGCCATCTACTTTTGTACAAAGTGGATGTCGAACTCAAAGACCATTAAGATTTTTTAAACCTATATCTGTATGGTGACCATAAAGTCACCTTACCTTATTGCTAGCAATGAGACTGGTAGTCAGCATTACTAATAACCCCCCTTCAGTTTTTATGTCTTACATTTTTGTTGTTTACTTTTTTATATATATTTTTATTAAAGAAACTTGAAGAACAATAGTAAATGTTGAGCTTCCTAATTTACTTCGACAACTGGATGTGTCAGTAAGGAATGCTCAAACTTTGTATTATCTCACTAATAAATTTCTATTCTTTTTGGTATATCATGTCTATGGTAATAGTTAATATTTACAATATCTATGGCAAAGTCCTTTAAGATTATACTGACTAAATGTAATGTTGCAACCGATTGATGGCAGGATGTAGCGTCGCAGCCCGACTTCGACTACCCGGCAGAGTTCTACGAGCACACGGAGGCGCTGTGGAAGGACCAGGGCGTCCAGCGCACGTACGAGCGGAGCAACGAGTACCAGCTCATCGACTGTGCCAAGTAGTATGTACACACATTGATAGTCCTTCAAAAAGATGCCACGGCTGAACTAATTAAACTTAAAACGATAGAAGGAGACTTTGTATAAAAGTCGTCTCCTTAGATACATCTGTGCTACTGGCGGCATAGGCCAGACATTTATATTTATAATAATCTATATCGATTCCATATTTTTAATAAATCTGTAGAGAGGTCAATTCTGTACACAAAATATATTTCCAAAATAACTATCAGAGGGTGATTGGTGATCGATACTGATGCCAAAAATGCAATCAGTAAAATTTTTGTATGTTCGTTATAGAAATAAAAACTACTCGATGGATTTTAACGAAACTTGGTACAATTATTCTTTATACTCCTGGGCAGGTTATAGTATTTTTCATCACGCTACGATCAATAGGAGCAGAGCAGTGAAGGGAAATGTTAGGAAAACGGGAGAAGTTACTCCATTTTTAAGCTTCCGTCTGCGTGTGCAGCCTTAATGGCCACTTTTTAAAATGTAAAAATGTTCACCCGTGAGACGCCGGAACGGGCCGCTAGTATATAATAATATTTTTTTATTTCAGACTACTACTTTCATTTTGTTAGTAACAATTCCCTTACAAACTAAAAAAAAAGACATATAACTAAAGCAATTCACTCAGATGTGACCCAGCCGTCTAGATCAGCATCTGAATGAAATGCCTAATTATACGTGAGTTATATTTCTCGCCTATTACTTTTAGAATGCTGTTAGTTCTCGTCCTAACCCTGTGTAGCAGGGGGTAAGGGATTCTGAGTAATGCGGACTACTATTTTTTTTTATACAACTTAGAATGGCAAACAATCTGACGGCCCACTTGATGGAAAGTGGTAACCGTCGCCTATAGACATGAGCAGTACCATGGACATAACAGAGTATACTGTTTCGTCCATGATACCCCCCACGCGTTGCCATTCCTGAGGACTCAGGTGTTATTCCTCTGTACCCGCCAAATGTAAATTCACGCCATATCCCACCCTTCAAACCGAAACACAGCCATGCAAATATAACTGCTTCACGGTAGAAACAGGAATGGGACAGAGGTACCCAAGCAATCGACTTTTGTACAAAGTCTTCCTCTGGTAAAATTATTAGTCTCATTACTGGCAATATACCCTGTCAGGTCGACCTCCATGCGGTCCCCCCTGGATACCATCGTGCTGAAACCCCGGTGTATTTATCACGATAGGTTAATTCACTTGCCTTTTTATTCTCACCTGTCATCCCTCAATGGTGCCCCACCGGTATATTCCGTTGGCGTGGGCGAGGTTGCTATTTCTTTATCAACCATTAAAAAAAAACCCTGTTTAGCAATGATGTAATTCTTTTTCTCCTTAGCGTAGTAATCAATCAACGCGAGATTGAACAAATATGCTAGAAGCAGTACAAAAACCCAACAGCAATCTGAAAGCCTCCTATTTTCAGATAGCCCCCATATTTTATTTATTGCAATCATTTATATTACGATTAATATGCAATGTCCATTTGCAGTTTCCTGGACCAGGTGCACATAATAAAGCAGCCGAACTACACTCCGACGGAGCAGGACATACTCCGCTGCCGAGTGCTCACCTCCGGCATATTTGAGACGCAGTTCGTCGTCGACAAAGTCAATTTCCAGTGAGTACATAAATACAATACCTTTGTTATGATAAATTAATAGAATTACAATGTATTTCTTATCATATGTAGCTATAAACTGTCTCAATAGAAATATAATGAAAGAGCAATTAAGTTTTAATTAAATTTTACAGATAATCGAAGTGAAATAGTAACCAATCGAAACATTCAATCTGTTAATGATTTGTTTCTAATATTACTAATGATTTATTCAATCTATTAATGATTTATTGTACTATAGGACATCATCAGGTTATCTTCTGGTCGAGACAATTAATCGTCTTTATTTAAAATTTCATTATGTTCTATTCAAACAAATTATAACTTCTCGCGGTCAAACGTCGCTATTACGAAGGACAGAAATATGAAGTAATCGAAGTGTGAAAGAGAGAGAGATAATTTTTGAGACCACTCTCGAACGTGCAGACTACGAACGATTCGTTTATCACTTGTCTAAAGAATCAATTAAAAAAAAATCAGAAATTTCATAAATGGTAAAATATGAAGGAATTATTAATTGTAGTTTCTTTTTGTTCTTTTATTATTTTAAATCGCTACTTCTTAAAAGTTTATTTAAAAAATACAGAAAACTGTCGCTGTTTATCGAATGGCAAACGAGCTTTTCGATACATAAGTTTTCGTTGCCGCACGTTTGAGATAGAGTAAGACAGCAAACTCCGGCATCTTGTTATTTCTCAAGAAAGCGTATCTACCGGTGTATTCGTTTGCCACCAATCATGAGGGGGGGGGGGCGTAAAATTATCACGCACACGTAGTTTGATTGCGGTGTGATCGCCTTACTTATCTATTAGAGCGTGCGGAGTCCATCTTTTTTTTTTTTGTCATGCATTATTTATGTAATTAAAACATACAGCAATTAACAACAAAATCAGGTTTCTTAAAAGCTTTTGACCTTACGCGTTTATTACACTTTCAACTTTATAAGGTCGTAAATAAATCAATTTATACTAACTTTCAATCTACTTAAATATTTTGTATTGTTTCAAAATAATTATAATCTATATTTTGTTTTTTATACTTAGCACAGGTAGTAAACATTATGCAATTTTTTTTTTGTCATATAAGGGTACATAAATAAATAACATGAATAAAAGTGTTTACATGAAATTGTTACTTATAATATTCCCAATTCAGTTATATTTAAAATGATAAATTGTGAAAACGATACCCCTGGTTTGTTTACCAAATTGTATTGTATTCTAAAATTTTTATTGTACCTAATTTACATTGGACATATTAAAAGATTTAATACTAAATATGCCAAGTACAAGAAACTAATTATGGTAATTAGTATTTTTACCATGAATTTCTTAAATATTAAGTTTTCAATTCGCCTTTTTTTATATTGTCCAGTTTTAATTTGATTTTCTTAGTTCTTGTCAATTAAAAAAAAATTGTTTACTTTTCTTTTTTTTTTTTTTTTTTTTAATTTTTTTTTCCTATTTATATCTACTCTCGTATCGTTTAGCAGTACAGATAATGGTTGATATGATGACGATAATGATGATGATGATGTAATATTATATATGATCATTTTAAAGTGTAATCACTGCCTTAGTGAATTGTTAGTTACAAAAAGATCATGTTTACACTAACAAGGTTGGTGTTATCACCTCATTACAGTTGGTTTTATGTTTGATCAAAACTAGTTTTTTTTTTATTGTTCCAATGGGTGTTATCTATGTCTTAAATGTCACTGTTTTGTCTCAAATGGATGGTAACGAATCTCTTCTCGGATGGGGAGTCTTCCTACATTGAGATAAACGGATCAATTAGCCCAGTTTTTGTAATATACAATGCATTAGTAACAATTAACTAATTAATTAATTAACCAAATTTTCCTTTAAAAAGTCTCTTCGAGAACATTACTTCAATTTATCACAACAATGAAAAGCCTTAATCTGTTATATAATAAGTTATTATTTATGTATTTATTAATTTAGTATATACTATGTATGGTTATTTATATATATATTGTATGTGATTTATGTGTGTATATTTTTTGTGAGTATATTATTCTATATGTTTGTATGTTTATTTATTATACATTGTTATCTCTTAAAATATTTATTTAATTTACTATTGTTTTTTAAATCTATGCACCGCCATCTGCTCTCTCTGTTTGGCGTGGTGGTTGACTGGTAGAGAATGCCATCAGGCATTAAGTCTGCCCTGTAGACGTTTTTCAATGTGTGCAAAAGTTTAAATAAATAAATCAAATTAATCTGTACAACATTAAGATTGCCAGAGAGAGACTTTATATGAAGGTTGTCTGCCTCTTTAGTAATAGAAGTAGCCGCCGTATGGTCCCGGCATAGAATAGGCCACCCCTTCCTTCCCCCATGGGTGTCGTATGAGGCGACGAAGTGAGGGCGAGGAATGAGCAGCAGCGTCCCTTTTAAAATATCTCTAAAGCCTGCGGTTGACAATCCGCTTGCTAAGCGTGGCAATTACTGGCAAAACCCCCCCAAGGGGGAGGGGTATGTTCAGCAGTGGACAGTTAAAGGCTGATATGATGATGATGTCTGCCTGTTTCCCCACTCGTGTAACTGACTTGAAGCAGTTGTGTTTGCATGGCTGTGTTTCGGTTTAAAGGGTGGGATAAGGCAGTGAAATTAAAATGTACTGAACACATCTTTATGAATATACACTCCTCGCAAAAATTAAGGGAACATAAAAATTTTTGAAATTTTTGGGTGATTTTCAACAGGCTGTATTTCAGTGAAAAATAATCGTACAGGAAATTTAAAAAAAGGGTTTTGAAGCTTGAAAACTCTAGTTTTCAGATTTTTTGGTAAAAAAATTTTTGAGCTCCGGTTTCCATGCAATTCTTAAACAAAGCTGAAAATAAATTTTTTCTAAATTTTCTAGGTTTTGTTTTTCACTCTATGGGCATGGAAAAATTTTTTCGAGCTACTCCATTGTATAGGTCTCTTAGCGTGTTTATTCAGCTTCAAAAATCGCTTTGGATGGCTCAATTACGACCATTTGTCTCCGAGATATCGAACTTTGAATGCAAAAGCATCCTTTTCCATTCAACTGCTAATATCTCTGGAACTACTGGTCGCACAGCAAGCGGGCGCCGAGTTTCTTTATCTGCATAAAATTTCCAATTAAGCACAGTCAAGAGTTAGTGAAGAAAAAAATTTTTTCCACCTCTAACATTGAATTGAAAAAAGTGGAAAAAAGTGACTTTTTCTCCTTTTTTTGTTACTTGGCTGTATCTTCGCTAATATGGGCGGGAAAGCTAAGGTTTAAGGAAAATTTTACAGTCTATTGTTCCTTAAAGAACCCCCTAAATCCCTGGAGCGATCGGTTCAACGGTTTTTCCCGGACCAATTGATTGAAATTTTGGAAAAAATAAGGGAACAAGGTTTTTGTCCCTTAAACTCACCATAATCCATTCAAAAATCAATAATTTCATTTGTTTTTCACTTTTTACTCAATTTTTTGTTTTTTAAAAATTCATTATCAAAAAAAAAATCGAAAAAAATCAAGAAAATTTTTAAGAAAAAATTTTTTTTGAAAAGTCGAAAAAAGTTTACAAAAAATTTTTTTTTCGTTTTTAAGGAAATCAAAGTTTTTGACAAAAACTTTGATTGATGATCGATTTACCGCCGGCATTAGCGTTACCCAAAGCATACCACGTGGAGGTTGCACGGTCGGATTTACGCTTCTTTTGTGCTTACGCACGTGTTTATGATATGGGATTCTTCAGAAAAAATGAGACCCTGTGGTTCGTCAGCTCCGCAGTATTTCGTGACTCCAAACTCATTTTCTGAAGAGTGTGTGTGTTAGTGTTGTGTAAGTAATTTTTAGAAGAAATGAGACCCCGTGGTTCGTCAGCTCCGCAGTATTTAATGACTCCAAACTCATTTTCTAAAGTGTGTGTGTGTGTGTTTCTCCACGTGGTATGCTTTGGGTAACGCTAATGCCGGCGGTAAATCGATCATCAATCAAAGTTTTTGTCAAAAACTTTGATTTCCTTAAAAACGAAAAAAAAATTTTTGTAAACTTTTTTCGACTTTTCAAAAAAAAATTTTTTCTTAAAAATTTTCTTGATTTTTTTCGATTTTTTTTTTTTGATAATGAATTTTTAAAAAACAAAAAATTGAGTAAAAAGTGAAAAACAAATGAAATTATTGATTTTTGAATGGATTAGGGTGAGTTTAAGGGACAAAAACCTTGTTCCCTTATTTTTTCCAAAATTTCAATCAATTGGTCCGAGAAAAACCGTTGAACCGATCGCTCCAGGGATTTAGGGGGTTCTTTAAGGAACAATAGACTGTAAAATTTTCTTCAAACCTTAGCTTTCCCGCCCATATTAGCGAAGATACAGCCAAGTAACCAAAAAAGGAGAAAAAGTCACTTTTTTTCCACTTTTTTCAATTCAATGTTAGAGGTGGAAAAATTTTTTTTCTTCACTAACTCTTGACTGTGCTTAATTGGAAATTTTATGCAGATAAAGAAACTCGGCACCCGCTTGCTGTGCGACCAGTAGTTCCAGAGATATTAGCAGTTGAATGGAAAAGGATGCTTTTGCATTCAAAGTTCGATATCTCGGAGACAAATGGTCGTAATTGAGCCATCCAAAGCGATTTTTGAAGCTGAATAAACACGCTAAGAGACCTATACAATGGAGTAGCTCGAAAAAATTTTTCCATGCCCATAGAGTGAAAAACAAAACCTAGAAAATTTAGAAAAAAATTATTTTCAGCTTTGTTTAAGAATTGCATGGAAACCGGAGCTCAAAAAATTTTTTTACCAAAAAATCTGAAAACTAGAGTTTTCAAGCTTCAAAACCCTTTTTTTAAATTTCCTGTACGATTATTTTTCACTGAAATACAGCCTGTTGAAAATCACCCAAAAATTTCAAAAATTTTTATGTTCCCTTAATTTTTGCGAGGAGTGTATATTTATAATTTTTTTTTAATACTAATTCTTTATTTGGAACAAAAGCATTTGTTGCAATGTTGTTGAAAAATGATAAAATCTGCAAAAGTACAAAACTATGTTGCGAATACCAACACCTTCCTTATAGCCTATCTATATAATATTATTATAATATCTTTATTTTCCATAGATTACAAGATTAATTTTATATAATATTCCTTCTCCACCATATTTCATTTATTTCGATCTGTAACAGTATCCATCCAATTTTCTCCTGTTATTTTTATGATTTTGTCAACATCTCGTTTTCTTTGTTTTCCAACACATCTTCTACTTGTAGGATCCAGTCATTTTGTTATTTAATGGGTACCTGGTGCCTAGCTAATATACCCTACCCATCTCCTTTTCTGTTTTAGGCTATACTGGAGAGCATCACTTGTCTTGGTTTTCTCACCCCTTTTATATAAGCTTACATTACCAATCCTTTTTTTTATGCAACTTAGAATAACAGTCAAGATAACGGTCCATCTGGTGGAAAGTGGTAACTGTTGCCTACAGACATGAGCAGCACCATGGACATAACAGAGTATACTGTTTCGCCCATGATACCCCCCACGCGTTGCCATTCAATACTCAGGTGTTATTCCTCTGTACCATGTAAATTCATTGCAAATCTATTGCAAGTCTTTTTTTTTTTTTTTTGTTAATACTGTACGTTGTAAATGCAATCGCAGCATGTTCGACGTGGGCGGGCAACGCGACGAGAGGCGCAAGTGGATCCAATGCTTCAACGATGTAACGGCGATCATCTTCGTGACCGCGTGCTCCTCCTACAACATGGTGCTCCGCGAGGACCCCACGCAGAACCGCCTGCGGGAGTCGCTCGATCTATTCAAGAGCATATGGAATAATAGGTAGTCAATGTTTCTCGCTCACTTCATATGAATTAACGGATAAACATAAATACAAACAATTATTATTCAGTAGTAATTGTTTTTTAATCTGCCCAGTTTGGAATGTAATTTCAGTTGAGAAGAATATGCAAGAATTAAATTGAATTGTTTTTAAACCAAAATTGAGTTTACAAGTTTGTGTTGTAAACCAAAATTAAGTTTTAGATTCTTCCTTTTGCAATAGATAATAAATGTCATACAATCGCATTAATCGTTTGGTTCTCAAATTAGGATACCCTGATTAGGATTGTGAGAAATCAGGCAACGAATATCTAGGAGTAACAGGCTTTTGCTTTCGCAGCATCAGTATCCAGATTCTACTCTTAGTAGAGTTCGTTTTCTAAATTGGTCCGAACAAGTTTAAACTGGGATTTGATATTAGGATCTCCGGACCGCTGTCAAGGGCTGTCCAACTGACCTATCACTGCTTTATTATTTTATGTTTTAGATTATACAGATAGAGCTTGAGTCTCAAAACGGTCAACTTTTGTTACTCACCGACTTGTTTTTTTTTATCAATATTCTATATACTTACGCATATAATTTATCTTGACGTATCTATATTTAATTATTGAATAAATAAAATGAAGTTTCACGCATTAAAAACATGCAAAAATAAATATAGAAGTTATAAAGGGAACACTTATAACTATTTATCACGCAAAATTGTGTGAAAAAAAGTTAACCCGCTTTTTTTTTGAAGCATTTGTATGGAGACAGTCTATCTATATAATCTAAATTTTATATAAATAATGTCCATGTGTATATAAACTACCGTTACCATATACCATCAGCCTGTGTACCGTGCCAAGTCGCATTACATGGTCCATGTATTCAATTGCAGATGGCTCCGCACGATATCGGTGATCCTGTTCCTGAACAAACAGGATTTGCTGGCGGAGAAGGTGATGGCGGGGAAGTCGCGGCTGGAGGAGTATTTCGCGGAGTTCGCGCGCTACCAGACGCCGCCCGACGCAGCGCCCGACCCGCGCGACCCGCCCGACGTCGCGCGCGCCAAGTATTTCATCCGCGATGAGTTCTGGTACGATGCCACACCTCGTTTATTTATTTAACTTTTTGTTGTACAGCCGTTAACCCTTTTACTGGCGGTGGCAATATGTGTGCCACCAACATTTTTATGATTTTTTCCACTTTGTAGCACCAATACCATACTGGTGTTGGCAAGGATATTGCCACCATGTTTTTTTCTTCCACTAAATATGAATGTTTTTTTTTTTTTTAATAAAAGCTATTAAAGTAACCCACAAAAAACCCAAAAAATGAGTTTTTAATTTTCCGAGACACAAAATTGCTTCTACCAGTTAAAGGGTTAACTGTCCACTGCTGAACATAGCCTTCTCCATAAGGAGGGTTTTGTCAGTTGTTGCTACGCTTGGCAGGCGTGTTGACAACCGCAGTTTTTGCTTTTGGTGATGTTTTAAGAGATATGCTGCTGCCTATCCCTCCACCATAAACTCTCTTAGTCACCCCTTACGACATCCGCGGGAAAGGAAGTATTTAACTCTTTTATTGCACTAAAAATATAAAAATAAACAACGACAGTTAAGAAATTTAAATGAAATACAGTTTCATAAAGTGTAGGTGAAAATATATTTATAAAAATACAAAAGACGGTCTTATCGTTAGAGCAATCTTTTACAGACAACTTTTGTTTAACGAAGAATAGAGAAGTGGGTACACCCACCCACCTGCTCCACCGAGCAAGAGAATTAATAATTTTTACGTGCATAAAATACAAAAATCTTTACTACATAATAATATCGAATACATACTATTAATTAAACTATTTATAACATATAATACATATATAAATGTCATTCATGTTTCTACCGTGAAGCAGTTGTGTTTGCATGGCTGTTTCGGTTTGAAGGGTTGGATATATCAGTGAATTTACAGGGTACAGAAGAATAACACCTTAGTCTTCAGGAATGGCTTATTTTCCATCAGATGGCCCGTCTGCTTGTTTGCCGTTCTAAGTTGCATAAAAAAATAAGTAAAAATGTATATAGCACACACAAGAAAATATGAAGAATCTACAATTACTACTAATAATCCATTCCCCCTCCATCATGGGGTAGTTGGAACCTTTCAATGTGTGAAATATTCATTTATTAACATAAAAACTGTTGTTATCACAGCGCATCAGTACGGCGAGCGGCGACGGGAAGCACTACTGCTATCCGCACTTCACGTGCGCCGTTGACACTGAGAACATCAAGCGCGTGTTCAACGACTGCCGCGACATCATACAGCGCATGCACTTGCGCCAGTACGAGCTACTCTAACGCTCGTACTCACGCCACTACGCACCACCGGTACGTACGCACTTACATTACGTCACTACGCACTTACCGGTACGTACGCACTTACATTACCTCACTACGCGTTTACTAGTGTGTACACACTTACATCACCCACTATACACTACCGGTATGTACACACAGTTACATTACCTCACTACACACTATTGGTACGTACACACTTACATTTTTTTTTATTGGGTGAAAAAGGTATGGTAACCCCGCCTGCGCTAACGGGATACGCTGGCGGAGCACCAGTGAAGGTTGATAGATGAGAATGAAAACAGGCCAGTTAGTCCATCATGATGAATTTATCAGGAATTAACCATTATAGTTTCCAGGGAGAACCGCGAGGAGGTCGACCTGGTTGGGTATATTGCTAGTAATAGGATTCTCAGTCTCCATTACTAACAATCCCTTTCCCCCTGTGTGGGGGGAAAGGGATTGTTAGTTACTTACATTATCTTAAAACACACTACCAGTACGTACGCACTTACATAACCTCACTATACACTACCAGTACATACTGTTATAAAACAAAAGGTGAATGTGATTTTAAAGAGAAAACTTTATTTGATTACCTATTTATTAAATTTTTATTTAAGTACACAGTGCGCTAGACGACAGATGGAGCTGAACCGCTTGGCATAATCTCACAGGTAGACCACACGTGGTCTTGGGAACAATCATTATTGCCTAATCAACATAAAAGGAACAGCAATGCGCAAACACGTTCTATGAAATGGTATAACAGTATACATGCACTCAGGCCACCAGGCGCTACCGGTACTAATACATTTACACTAACATTTGCACTCACACATAATGGTTAATTGTGTATTTTTATAACATAATGCCTTTTAGAACTGAAATAACACTAAATAGTCCCTTTTAGAAACAATCTAAATACGAACAATGTATTTGCAGACAAAGTCAGGAGAAGCGCATAACGAGCACCGCCGGCGGCGGTTCCCGACCTCAACCGTATGACACCAATGTCCGAACACGGCACAGCAATATTTACACATGAATTATATTTGTTGTTGTATACATTACATGTATTACTAATGTGTTATATTTAGGGGTCTAGGACGCGCCAGTATGCTGTCAGAGTGGTACTAAGTGTAGAGTGCAAGCTTCGGTCAGTGCTTGATTTGAAATGTGATATTCGTCACAGAAACATGTACAACATAGACAAAATGTACACTTTATAATTTGATGGATTTATTTACTGTTGTCCACAGAGTTCTTATAATTTGATGGATTTATTTACTGTTGTCCACAGCGTTCTTATTTAATAAATAGATAATAAATAATCATGATAATAATATTTATATTGTCTAAATAATTTTTATTTCTTAAAAGAAATTACTATTGAAAATATTATAACAACGCCATCTAGTATCAAATTAAGGAAAGCTTGTACTATAGGTACTACAATTTATTTTTTCGTAACACATATATCACATACGTGTAATATATAGAAAACACCCAGAATAAACAAATATTATGCATGTTTGTATTGTGTGGGCATTGATCCTGTAACTATTGGAAGGTTAATCATGTTACTGTACAATGACTTAAATTGAGTACTGGCCGAAAAGAATCTGTAACATACAGGCCTCACTTACGTCAGGTACGACAGTGATGGTCACTGTAAGGGGTATCTTTTGACATTCAGGTGACAAAGTTGCGACCTTTTCACCAGTACCACGTTGAAAAAAATTTTGCCACAGTGTTGACATGTTTTTATATTATATCTTTGACATTTTTTTGTTTATATTTTATGTAAGAGTGTGTGTATTTGAAAATATGTTTTAAAAAGTTACACCTAAGTCACATACAGTTAATAATAAGTATATGAATATGTATACCATTCAAAGTTTTGAGAATGATTAATTTGCAAATCATTTATAGTTGTACAATATTTAATTTTTTATTTTAAACATTTTGAAGTAACTTATGATAATTTATATTATATATATATTACTGTACTACGGTGCATAAAAAGATGTCAAAACTATGACCAATATTTATTTAATCCTGACTACGCAGCATACTCGTGTTAGGCCTCCTTCAGTGGTCTGAAGTTAGCTTGGCTATAGAGTGACCACACTTACTGTGATTTCTATTGCATAGAGGGCATCGATCGACGTTTTATATACAATAATGAATATTGTATCGAATGACAAATATATTTTTTATTATCTGTTATTTGATGTGACACTGGCATAAATCTAGATTTATTTGTACTTGTGGCGAATACTGGCGGCCTCTCACCTGATGGAAAGATGTTAAAATAAATTCAAAACCAAAGATAATCTTCCAATATTTTTTTTTCTATTAAATTATTTTGAAATTTATTGTTGATATTGTGTGAGTGGGACGTCGTAAATTCCATGTTTTTTTTTTTTTTATAAAATTGTCGAGCGATGCCGTCCTTAGCCCAAAAAATGTCGTTTGCATGGTGTTTCCGAACGGTTTCGCCGTTCCCGATACTGGCAACTATTCGTCGTTTATAATTATGTAATGCGCTTCACTACGTTCTAAATTCGAATGAACTTGGATATTTTTTATTTCGAGTTTTAATCACTTGTCGAATGTAAGCGCAGAAATTGTATGAATAGAGCTTTTATTGTGTTTGAATTATTTAAAAATGTTTTATTATAATGTTTTTAGCGGTGGTAGTGATGTGCCGTCGACAGCGGGTCCATGGGTTGTGACGATTACGTTCGACTTGTATCGGTTTGTAGTGCCAATCGCGGATGGTTTCAAGAGACCTACTATAATTTTATATTTCTACGCTATTATGTGATTAACTTAGAAATGTCAAACTATAGTTAGTTTATATGAATCCAAGGGTAGTATAACCTGTTGCCAGGATAAGACGGGTGTCGTCTTAGCCGCGCGATATTTGCGCGACATTACTAGCTAAATTGCTTTATTTTTCTCGAATGTGGTGGAGTAGAATTATGAATATAATTGTGAGTAAAACGTATATGTGTATGCATTAGCTATACTGTATTGGTTGAGGCATGCCGCTATGAGGTGATCTTGGATTCGTTTTTAAATTTTTGTATATGTTGTATTAATTCGGTAGTGTTGCAATAAAAAAATCATTGAGAGTACTATTCTACATTATGTTCATACATATGGCATCGCATGATTAGTTCTATACCTAATAATTAGGTATGTATTTTTTATATTTATTAACGTAAAAGAGAACAAAATGTCTACGTAGTTTTATGCACAAAATTTCATTGTTTAGGAAAAATCGTCACTGGTCGTTTGAAATAAGAAACCTCGGATTACAATTTGAATCACGGAGAGGGGGTGATGTCAGCTCAAAAAGATAGGCAGGAACTAGTAATAGAAGCCATACTGTACGGGAGTAGTACTAATGCTGTGCTATTGGCATAAGAATAAGTAAACCGGACAGAATCGACACTCATATGCTTCCTTCAGATATCACAGGGTTGTCACAAATTCATTTGCAATTTAACAAATAATTTTACGATATGACGTGCACACGTTGGAATGAGTTAGACGCAAACTCTCACTGCGGTGCGGTCTGTTGCTTGCAAGCCCTAACTTATAAACAAAATAGGGCCGTCAACGCGCCTATCTAGTTATTACTGAAGCCACGAGTATGTCGGTTCCACCTACAATTTTATTCTTGTGATATTGATAAGATTCTTAAGATTGCCTCATATCACCGCCCCAGCCACCCTTCCTCGAAGCCACTGGCAGCTAGATGGCGGCCGACCCTCGCGGCCAAACCATTGTTTATATTAAGGATCATCATCACATGGTCATTACCTGAGGCTAGTTTCTTCTTTAGTCGTAAGCTTTTAGAACTATCGAAGCCTTTCCTTTTCAAGTAAGCAATTGTTTTAATTATGTATATCACTTGTATATTATGCTTGCAAATTAGACGGAATCGTTGGTTTGTTTATTTAATAGAATTGTCCGTACATTGTGGGGTGGGTTTGAAGATTATTTGGTATTTATAAAAGTATAGGGGTATATATATATATATATATATATATATATATATATATATATATATATATATATATATATAATGTAGAAATGTGACATATTACCAATAGGTAATATGTCTCCATCACTTACCTACAAACCAGGAAGGTAGAGGTCATTGGCTATCAAATGACCCATCAATATATCAATGTTCCCCAATTTCGAGAGATTTTTTTTTATTAAACAAAGATATATGTAATTTTTAAGTCCATTAATAAAAATCATCCAAGCAGATAATTTCTTTTGTATTGTATAAAACTAATGTGATGCACAATTTCACGTATTTAGAGTAAATATTTTATTAAATATTTTTTATAATTTTTTTTTTATAAATCTATTGGATTAGACGATGTTTTTTTTTAGTCTTACATTTTTAGCTATATATATATATTTTTTTTTTTTTTGTATAATTTGACAATTGCACCCTGCACAATGCGTATATACATAAAAATCAACGTATAGCAAAATGTACAACTCGTTTTCGGTAGTGATGTTTCTATTTTATATAAGCGACTAGGAAATTTGTTATGTCTGTATATTTTGGTTGGGGATGAGAATTTTTCGTTTTGTAATTTCATATATTTTGAATTTTAATATATTTTGACTTGTTTGTAGCGCGCGTCGCGCCGCTGTCTTTTACGGTTATTAAGTTTTATTTTAGTTTTTTATCGATACGTCTTCCATTTTACCTGTAGTCAATTTTCGTTTTATTAATTGACTTAGTGTTATAACAAAATTTTTTGACTAAAATATATATATCGCTTGCTATAGTTTTAACCTAGGTTATATATTTTTATGTCCCAGAGCTTGGTAATTGTAAGTCCCAAAGATGCCGTATATAATACGGTCTTAGAATCCTTTAGCAGTATTTTATAATGTTCTAAAGATTTGATTTATAGATGTAACAATATGTTTTGTAAGTGGACACAGTTTATAGCGTATAAGTACAAATGTAACTAACAGTCCCTAAGGT